CAGTGGCAGCTCCTACCGTGTCTTCTGTAAGGGGCACCACGATGGGGGGACTCAACCTGCTCTTTGCTGGGGGGTGAGAAGTACAGACGGAAGCGCAGCCCTGTGAGACGGCCCCTGGGAGTTGGGAAGACCAAGCTAACCCCCATGTCACCTTCTGAAACCTTCCATAAGGCACATAGCCCCCAAGGGGTAGCTTCTGTGGCCCTGGGCCACCCCAGAAGGAGGCCTCTCTGCAGGCCCCAGGCTGGAGGGCTCCCCAGGACCTGCCTTGGGACAGGATTTGCAGTTTCAAAGCCAAGGGTTCTACTCCTGGGGAGAAATGTCCCAAACAGCCCGAGTTCCTGCACAGGAATCCTCAGATGCTGGAGTTTTATGGGCCACCAAAGGCTAACTAGCCCGACACTCTGCTTTACAGACAGGGAAACTGACRTTCAGCTTCTTGCGCGTTCACCCAGCAAGAGGGCGGCAGAGCAGGCTTCTCCCACCTGCAGATTGGCTAGCTCTGTCTGCACACAAGTTTTGCTGGCAGACAGGTGCTGCTCAGAGGGGAGAGATGCAGGTCCCTGAGCGGGGTGGGTGTGACCGCCCGTCCAGAGGCAGAGAGCCACTAGGAAGGGCTACGGCCTGGGCAAGCCAACAGCGACCCGCCAGGTGGGAGCCCGGGCCTCTGTGGGTGCTGGAGCTGCAGCCACCACAGATTTGTAATGACTTGTAAAGATTTGAGAGAGTCCAGGCCCCCTGAGGCAGAGGCAGCTTCGGAGCCTGAGCCGGGTCCCAYGGCGGAGGGCGACCTCTGCTGGCCGCCAGGAGCTCCTGCTTCCCTGTGCCAGTCGGAACACAAAGCTCAGACCCTGGAACCATAATCTGGTTTAAAGGGGTTTGGGAGGAAGAAGGACGTCTTTGAGGACTGGGTCATACCTTCAGGTGGGGCCAAGCAGGAGGCTTTGACCACCAGTCTTTGAAGAGTGGGAAGGATAACACATTAATGATTAGAAAGGCAGAGGGTTAAATCTTAGGCCAGGAGTTTCCTGGCTGTGTGACCTTGGGCAGGTCCTTTCGCCTCTCTGAGCCTTTTAAGGATTAAGAAAATTAGCAGCGCATGGGTCCTGGCCTCATGCCAGCAGGTAGCAGGTGCAGAACAAATGGAAGATTTCAGTCCACCCTCACCAGCCACATCTCTGGTGCCTCATTCAGCCCACCCCTCTCTCTTCATGCCTAGGACCCTAGCTCTCAAGGCCTTATACCCATTATTGTGAGGACAGGAGCCTCCTGTGCCATCCATTCCTGGTGTTAATAATCCCAGTTTTCTACCACTGATCTCAGCAGTTTAACAATGTCACCTCACCTGTGGGTCCCTCCTTAATTCAGCAACACATTCATCCTTTTGTAGATTACAAGACAGAGGACACGCACCTGTCTCGGTGATCTATGATGTCTCTCCTGACAGCTGCCTACCCGCCCCTGGGCCTCGMAGGTTCTATCTGATTCCCATAAAATGGAGCAATAGCCTAGGAGAAAAGCCCCCTGGGGTTTGGACCCAGCCCAGATGTGCCATGTGACCTTGAAAAAACTACCTGTGGGTCTCAGGCTCCCTCAGATAAAACCAGCTGAAATGTTGGTGCGGGGGAGTACTCCAAGTACCTTCCCCATTGATTTCCTGGGATCTTTGAATCCCCTGATGCAGCCCAGCCACCAGGCTCCAGACAGCTGCCTAAGAGCTGCATGGAGACCTGCCTGAACTTGACAGTTCTGTCTCTGGCTTTGCTGTTTGCTCCCTAATGTGAGACCTGCCCCCAATCCCTTCCACTCCACTGTGGCCTAACAGGGAAGAGCAGCCTTAGCACCCCGAGGTTATCGGCTAGGGAGGTCTGAGCTCCTGATGTCTGCTTCGGGCACCCCTGGGTGGGCTGAGCACTCCGAGCCTCCAGAAACTGTCAGCTATTAAATAAGCATTTATTAAATGCCATGCCCACCCTGGGAAGTTCCTCCTTAGGGGCAGAACRTGATGAGACCACCTAATTCTCCCTTCATGCTATCCTGTTCTACAAGATGGAGACACCAAGGCCTAGAAGCTAGACAAGGCTGCACAAAGCCTGTCGTGACTAGGGACACCTGGGGTGGGGGGGGGTACACAGAACCCTGGAACCTTTAGGGTGCTGGTTTCCAGCCCTCTGGGCACTTAGGTTTGTCAACAGCACCCCCTGCTGGCTGCCTGGTCACCGTAGACCCTTTGTCTTGGCTGGCTGCTGCCTGTGGACAGGGGATAGAGGACTGACCAGACCTTGAGTTGCTCTGAACTTCCCTTCAAACTCCACCGAGCTGTTCCAGCCTTGGTTAATGGGTCCTTGGCTCAATGTCTTTGTCCTGGCAGGATGTGGAAACCTCATTCTTTATTGGGATCCTGGCTGCCATTGTTCACTCATGTCCCTTGGACTCAGATGGAGTCTGGCAACAGGAACCGAGGTAGCCTATGGAAGGTCATGTGAGCTTACTTCTGCTCCAGGTCCTCCCGTGCCCCTACTCCCCAAGGTTGGCCCTGGCTCCAGAAAACTTTTGTCATGTGAATGCTGGCTGAGGCACAGTGCAAGTACACGCAGGTGGTACATGGTCGGGGGACCTCGGGGGCAACAAGGGGAACCAAACCTGTYTTCCCCAGCAACACCATGGCAGCCTCCAGCAGGGTCCCTGGCCCCTCCCCAGTTGCTGTTCAAGAGCTTGGGTGGTAATGGGAAGCTGGGATTCTGGAGCTGACTCTTACCARATCTGCCATCAACTCTGAGCCTCAGTTTCCTCATCTGCAGAGTGTAGAGCAGTGTCTGTGTGTGCCAGGTCCTGCGCCAGCACCAGACTATTCATAGGAGCAGCCCAACATAGGACCTGGCTCTGCAGAGTCATCACAGAGTGTTTACTGGGGGTAGAGGCAGTCGCAGGGGAGCAAGTTCCAACTAGGGGTGGGTGCTGGGATGGGTACCTGGGGGAGTGGACAGACACACAAATGACAGATGGCTGCTGAGGTAGATACATGGTGAATATGGAGCTAAGTGTCAGGGAGTATGTGCAAGATGTGGCAGGTACTGTGAATGTGGGGGTGGTTGGCAGAGAAAACAACCCCCACTGTCACTTTCTTTCCAGAGAATTCCATGATCAAGCACTTATTAAAAATAAAATGTCCGTCTGGGTGCCGTGGCATACGCCTATAATCCCTGTTACTCTGGAAGCTATATCAAGAGGATCTTTAGTTGAAGGCTGGCCTTGGCAACCTACAAGAACCTGTCTGAAAATTTAAAAAATAATAATAATAATAATTGTGGATATAACTCAGTGGTAAAATGCTCCTGGGTTCAGGTCCTAATACCAAATAAATAAATACAAATGTYCAAATGACCCGGCCCCTTCACTTCCAAGAACACCCACACCTGGGCGAGGTGTCACTATGAAAGGTCGTTCTGATGATGAATGGCTCCAGGTTCCCTCATGCCGGGTGGCTGAGGTAGCCTCCTGAGTACAAGGGCCTGGTTAGGACCTAGGGCAGTGGGACAGCCCCTGACCGGTGTAGACATTCACTCCGATGTTAGTTGGTAAATGTTTCCTGTGCTTGGAACACTGTGCCACCATTTAAAAAATGAAAAGGCTCCTTCTGTYTCGATGGAGAAGAAGTTGGAGCTCTGTCATTAACGGGGGGAAAAAGCAAGGTCCAGACGGGGCAGAGAGCTGCTGTGTATGTTTTGAAAAGAGTCGTGCAAGGACAGTACACATAGGTATTTGCTTCTACAGGAAGCCACTCAGGTTCTCCCAGGAAAGGCCCCTRAGGCTGGGGACAGAGCCAGGACTTGCCCCTGGACACCCCTGTGGATGTCCTGGGTTTTGAATTGTGCAAATGATCGCCTTTTCAGGAGCCACAGGGTGAAAGGCTCCTTAGAGAAGGAGCAGGGCTTTCTCTCTAAGGCCAGGGCCAGAAAGTGGTGACGGCCCCTCAACAAATATGCTGAGGCTGTAGGGAAAGAGCCAGGGCAGAGCAGGCCGACGCAGTCCACACTTCTTCTAGCCGTGCAGACTTGGCAGGTCTCGGGACTCGGTTTCCTCCCCTGTAGAACCTCTAAAGGGGAGAACGTGGGTATCCAGCATGCAGAGAGTGTCTGGTAAAAGGGTTATTTGTGACATGGCTGGAGATGAGAGGCCTTCTGCAGGGCAGTGTGGTGGGGTGGGAGATAAGGCCAGGCTCGGTAGGCATCCTGTCCATGTCCCTGGTCCCCCAGAATCAGGACAGGAATCTACAGCCACTCTGCCCTGTGCAGTAGATGTGGCCACCTGCTGGCACCAGGAGCCCTGGTTCCTGTGTGGGAACCAGGACACCCCATGACCCCAATGGCTCCCTTCTTCTCTCTGAGCCTCAGTTTTCTTGTCTGGAAAACGGGCACGGTGCTAACTCCTGCCCTCCTTCTTGGCCAGGACGGCAAAGTGGGGTAAATGGAACCGTCCGACTGTGAGTGGTTTAAAAGCATGAAGAACTCCAAAGCCAGAGGGACCTGAGGAGGGCATGTGGCACCAGTGACAGGAGAGCTACACTATAGCCCGCGTGCCGTGAAGCTTGTCATACAGGAAGGTCCCCTCGTTCACACAGGTGCACCCCACACACAGCCACGTCAAGTGGACTAGCCTTGAACCAGGACTCTGGGGGTGGGGTTGCTGTCTCCCCACAACCAACCCCGTCCCCCACACACATGTACAGAAATGCGTGCCCCCTCCCGTGCAGTTTCTCATCTCCTGGTGGCTCTGCCTGCCCAGTGCTCACACAAGCCACCCCCGGAGAGTAGCCAGGACCACCTCCTGCCCTCAGCCCAGGGGGTGCGSGCCAGCTTGGAAAGAGGCCACCACGGGTTGGAAAGGGCCCTGGAACCCCAAAGTGTCAGGGCTGGTGGGGGGCAGGGTGGACTGGGGGACGGATGCCGGGTGACAGGCCTGGTGACACCCCAGTGACATCCTCTCCCCTCTCTTCACAGGCTGGACCACGTTCATGGCTCTCGGGTAGAGCCCAGCAAAGCGGCCAGGATGAACTCCATGGACAGGCACATCCAGCAGACCAACGACCGGCTGCAGTGCATCAAGCAGGTGGGTGTGGCCAGGCCCGGAGGAGCTGTGGGCTAGGAGGCAGGAATGGTGGCCTGGAACAGTTGCCCCAGCTCCCGACATCCGCCTAGTGACAGCGTGGCAGGCGTGCTGGTACAGACCAGCCTAACACTGGAATTACTCCCTCCTGGGTTTGAATGCCAGTCCTGCCTTTTGTCTTCCCAGCAGTGTGATTTTAGGCCAGTGTCCTGCCTTCTCTGGGCTGCAGTGAGGATGCAGTGAACTGCCCTACATTGTGACAACCCCCACCCATTCCACCGCCTTTCTCCCCAGACCTAAGCTTTCGGCCCCTCTGCTCCCGCTGCTTGCTAATCAAGGTTACAAGAGGGAGGAAAGGTCCTGGGAAACGCCATCATTTTACAGAAAAGGAAAGAGGCACAGAGAGGAGAGGTGGACAGAAGTCACCCAGCTCCAAACTGGACCCCAGTGGTGCTGGAAGGTGGCCAGTTCCCCRTCTGCTCATGTTCTCACCAAGCAAGAGGCAGTTTACCCATGAGTGTCCCTGGTCTGGATTGTTGGGAGGTGGGGTACCCTTCATGGGTGCCCCCAGAGGTGACCAGGAGTGGGCAGCTTCCCTGCACAGACCCGGGAGAGTTGGGAGGAAGGGGCATGGCTTCCAGAGAATGCAGGGTCCACYTCCCTGCTCCCCATGGGGCAACCTCAGTCCACCCACTTTATTTCTGAGCCTCAGTTTCCCYGTATGTCAGATGGGGCCCACAAGGCCCACCTCACTCAACGCTATGGCAACGGCAGCACTGTGGGTGACAACACACAGCCTAACCTTGGCAGACGGCAGGTGACGAGCTAATGGCAGCTATGACTGTTGTTCTCGGAATCTCAGGCAGGTGGTTGCTGGGGCACAGTCCTTTGGCAGGCAGGCTGGGCAGGAAGCTCAGGGAACCAGCCGCTGGCCTCAGGAAACAGTCTCCTGCCTTCCTTCCCTACAATCCAGGGCCCCAGGGAGCCRCCCCCAGGTGCCCAGCCAGTGAACTGTGGCTACTCAGCAGGAGTGAGGGAGGTGTCCTCTCTTTAGCACCTAACAGAGCAAACTCTGCAGCCTGTGCAGGTGGRAGAGCAAACTGGAGACTTGTTACAGACTGAACCCAGCCGGACAGTCTTCCAATCGCCAATTACTTGCCTCTGTTTATGGTCACGGGGTAGAATCCAGACCATGTGCCCCCCTGCCCGTCTCCCCCGTCAGGCTCCCAGCACTCTTTCCCAGCACTGCCTCTGACCCAGTTTCTCCTGCCCAGGGCTTGGCTAGCAGTGACCCCACCCTCAATAGACCTATCTCCTCTTCCTGAGCCCCTCCGTGCACCAGGCACACAGCTCCCCTGAGACCTGCTCTCCACTTGACTTTTCTCCCCTGCCTAGCTGTGTGCCACCAGGAGTCAGGGTGACCTTCACTCCCTTGGCCCTTCTCTGGAGCTGCCCCCCTTTGTAGCTGTGCCCCACTCTCACCCTGTAGCTTGGTACACACAGCTCAGATTTTCAAGTCAGCAAGCCTGCGTCCACCACTTAGAAGCTACATGGCCTTGATTCAGTTGATACGTTGCCTTACCTTGTCTGTAAAAGGGCATCATAGCCAATGTATTCTCAGCACCRAGGGCTGGAGCCCCAGCTGCACCACCCTCCCCCCGCCCCGGCTGTCCTTACACCCGCATGCAGCTCAGAGGGCCCTGCATTTGGGACAGATAGAGGTACGCTTGGGAGTGCAAGCAGTTATCCAGATGCCCCTGAATCATGCAGAGCCGCCAATGTCCTCCATACCCCTTCTCTTACTCCTCCCATCAGACACAGCTCAGGGCTGGTGTCTGGCTGTCCCACAGAGGGTGGCTGCTGGCTGGAGACCGTTGATTCTCAGGCATCCCGTAACCTAATCCGAAGAGAAAGAGAAGCTCTCTGCTGAGGGTGACAGACGTGTAGGCTGGAAGAACTTTGGGCTAGCAAGGGCTATGGCTCACATCAGGGGACAYGCAGCCCTGCCTCACCTCCCAGCCGAGCCTTCCCACCCCACTCAACCTGGCTCTAGCCATCCTTAACACTCGCCACTCCCAGCCCCTTGTGGCCCACTTCTCCACAGGCCGCCAGCCCAGCTATGGCTCCCCTTCTCAGCTGCTCAGTGCTGGGAGGAAGAGAGCTCCCTCTCTATAAGGTGCTCCTCTCACAGCTCCCAGGCAGCTGGGATCCAGGCAGAGAGCCCTGCAACTCCCCAACTCCCSGGCTCTCTTCTCAGTACCTGCACACCACCTACAGCCTCAACCCATCCTTCCCCTTCTCCTTCAAGTTCTAAGTCCTGTGGGCATGCATCAGGGCTCCCCACCAGAMTGAGTTCCTGGGGGCAGATATACTACATTTATCTCTAAGCCTACAGAATCTAACCTTGGACCCAGCCCAGGGTGGAACCCAAGTATTTTGGTTAGGTGCCTGGGACAGGTGGACAAACAGATGGACGCATAAAGGAATAGATGGACAGATAGGTAGTTAGAGGGATGGGCAGGCGGGTATAGATGATGGATGAGTGGGTGGCTGGATAATTGACTTCTGGAGGAATAAGTAGATATGTGGATAAATGAATGAATGGGCGAGAGACAGATAAAGTAGTGAATGGATGAATGGGTGGATGGGCAAGTGGATAGATGGATGGATGAATTGATTCATTTTGGATGGATGGATGGATAGATGGATGGATGGATACGTGAATGCACTGTATGGATAGAAGGATCGTTTGATTCCCAAATGGACTAGTGAGTGACTAGGTTGATGAGAAAATGAATCCATCATTTCTTGGGTGGGCAGCCCTGGTCCAGGCATTGGTGTGCCCTACTCTCACCCGTAGACTAAGCAGCCAGGAGATGTCACCCAAACCTTCAGAGAATATGTGGAGACCGATCAACTTTTTCATGGGGGACAGGGTACTAATGTCCAGCACCAACAAGTCTGACTCAATATACACTCTGYTTGTGACTCAATATACACTCCAGGGCCATCATAGCTGGCCACACTTGCCCTTGACAGCCTCTTCCCTACTCCATGCCACTGGGGTCCCCTTGTGAAGTGGCCAGGTTTCTGTCTGCTCGGCAGGTGGGCCATTCTTTGGACAGTTAACTGCCCACCAGCAATTTCCTGTGGGAACCCCCTTTGTGCCAGTCTTAAGGATTCCAAGGATAAGCAATAGGCTGTTTCCACACTTGAGGAACTCTCCAGAGGAACAGGAAAGATTAGTGAGAGGCCATGGACCGCAGCCGCGGCACCTGCTCCTTAATGAGCTCCTTACGCACAATCAGCCAGTCTGTCTGTCTCTCTTCCTTCCTTCTTTTTTTTCTTTTTGGTACTGGGGTTTGAACCCAGGATGCTCTACTACTGAACAGCATCCTCAGCCCTTGTTAWTTTTTTTTTGCTAAGTTGTCCAGGCTGGCCTTGAACTTGCCATCCTTCTGCCTCAGCCTCCCAAGTCACTGGGGTTACAAGTGTGTGCCACCAGGCCTGGCTACACATAGCATTTCCAAATTCTACAGCCACCCCCCAGGGTGAAATCACCCCCACTTTACAGATGAGAACTCTGAAACCCAGTCATGTCCCCAGGGCTGCATGGCTCAGTGGCTGAGTTGGGAGTTTGGACGAGGTGCGTTCTGCATGTGTCCCCAAGTCACTCAGTCTTTCTGTGCAACTCAGTGACCTCGTAGTTGACAAAGACACGGAGGGAGGAGGGGGCTCAGGCAAGGCTACAGAGCTATGCACAGAAGCCAGCCAAGGGAACGCCTGATGTTGGCTGCACTCACCAGATGCACCACAGCGGAGGGAGCCAGCCATCCAGGCTGAAGGCAAGGGTCCCCAGCTGGCAAGACACCAAAGGCGGGTGCTCAGGCTCCAGAACAAGACTGAGCCCAAGATGGTCCTCAGAGGTCACTCGTGAACTCAGAGACCCAGGGGTGCTGTGGCCACCTGTGAGCCAGCAGGCAGCTCTGAGAGCAGCATGCAGTGGCAGGTGACCCTGCTAATTGGGTGTGACATCACACAAATAAATGGAACAACTCGGTTAGCAGTGGGGAGCTGATGAGTGCAGCTTTCCACACGGAGACCAAGGCCCTCCATGGCCTCCGAGGGGCACATACTAGAGGAGGCCCGCCCTGGGAGGCAGAAGCAAGGACCGCTGCTGCCCTCTCGAAGYGCACAGCTCTGTTCTTAGAAGCCCCTCGATCCTGAGGCAGCTGTGCTTCCAGGAGCCAGGGGGACGCTGGCCGGCAGAGGCTGGGCCAAGGGCAGCCCCACGTGGGAGCACCCACGCGCCAGGCGCCTTGCCAGGGCCTGTAAGCCTCATCTTGTTTAATCCCCACCCCAGCGCCGGACGGGGGCTCGTTTCTGCGTGCTCACCCGCACCCTCCCCTTCACCTCTTTCCTTTCCTTTGTTTCTGTGGAGAGAGACGATCCTAACTGAATTCACAGACTTCTCTGCCTTTAAACTGTGACTTGCACGTACCCCCTTGTGGCAATCGACAGCCATGGAACCCTAAGTGCAGATGGGACTGCTGAAACTCAGAGAGGTGAGGGGATCGTCTTAGGTCAGCAGCCAGTAGGAGGCAGAATGTGACCAGGGTCCCTTCCCCACAGGGACTCCCGCAACACTCTCTCCCTACTCCCATTCAGGGACCTGTAGCGCCCTAGGACCTGTAGGCCCAAGGCCCTACCCACCATACTGGGGCCACCGTGGGCCAGTCACTCTTCTGCTGTCTCTCCCAGCACCAGGACAGCAGGACTCAGGAGCTGCCACCATTCCTGCAGCTGGGCAGCTTGTGTACCCTCTGCCCTTGATGCAGGCCCCCCGGAAAACAGCAGCAGCCAAACCTGCACTGGGTCAAGCCCCACCACAGAGTCACAGATGCCCCTCTAACCTGTCGCCTGGCCTTGGGCAAGTCTTTTATCTCCTGGTCTCAGTGGCAAACTCAGAGGACCTGGGAAGACATGGATTGTTAGAATGAAGGGGACCTACAGGCCACCTCCTCCCCTTTGTACCCTGGCGCCCCTCTAACCAGGCCTGAGATAGAATCTGGGGCCCAAGCACTCTGGCCCCAGAATTCTCACTCCCTGACCAGGAGGRGACCCTTCCCCACAATGCCAGCAGTCCCCAAGCTGAGGCAGACAGGGCCTGGAGAACCGGGAGGGCCCTAAGCCACATACGCCAGACCACAACCTGAGCACCATGTGCTTTGTGGTCTGCCTTCTCAGCTGAGGGTGGCCTCCCCTGCTCCCTGCCCTATTTGACTATGGCTGAGCTTGCTGGGAGTCCAGTCTGGGTTGGGAGCTTAGATGGGTGCTCATCAGGAGGGAATCCCCAGGCAGCCCATCCTGGGTCAGAGAGTCAGTCCCCAATCAGGGAGGCCTTGTGCCATCCTTCAGAACCCTGCAGGGTCCACCCCCTCCAACCCCAGCATCCAGAGTGGGCTTGAATACTTGATCTCACTGGCCTCGCCAGACCTTGGTATTCCTGTCTCTGCAGTGTGGCTGCTTGTCCCCTCCCTGCAAGGTGAGGGTGGTCGATGTGCAGAGGAAGATGGGAGTGAGTGTGGGACCACTCACAGCCCACCCTGCCCCTTGGCCCCTCTCTGAGCATCTCCTGGTGAGGCTGTGTCCTCCCTGCCCCAGACCCCAGTGCAGCTCTTGCTGGCCTCACTCTGGGCACCTCAAGCCACCTCCTCTTCCTTCCCACAGCACCTACAGAATCCTGCCAACTTCCACAATGCCGCCACGGAGCTGCTGGACTGGTGTGGAGACCCKCGAGCCTTCCAGCGGCCTTTCGAGCAGAGCCTGATGGGGTGTCTAACGGTGAGTCTGGGCCTCTGCACTGCATAGTGTGTGTGTGGGGGGGGGGATGCGGGCCTGTCCAGATGCGAGGTAATGGGAGTGACAGCCGGGAAGACACTGTGCTGGTGGGGACGGCCCTGCCATGTGTGCCCCCAATCTGGGTCTGATGGGGAGGTGAATTACATGAGTTTCCACACTTGAGACTCAGGGCTCGCTTGGGGGGTCAATGTTCTGTCATAGGCAAAGCAGCAAGACTCTGAGGGGTCTCAGCCATACTTTTATGCAATCCTTCAGTCACTCGGCATTTATTGACCTTTTTATTGCCTGCTATCCATTTATCCATCCACTCATCTATCTATTCACCCATCCACCCATCCACCTATTCACCCATTCACCCATCCACCCATCTACCTATTCACCCAACCCCCATCCATCCACCCATCCACCCATCCATCCATCCCATCCATCCACCCATCCATCCATCCACCCATTCACCTATCCACCCATCCATCCATCCCATCCATCCACCCATCCATCCACCCACACATCCATCCACCCATTTATCCATTCATTCATCCATCCATCCATCCACCCGCCCACCTACCCAGCCACATAGCATTCACTGAGCCCCCATCATGCCTGTCAGACTAGCAAAATGCACGTTGATTGATCCCTTGCTTACCCTGTGTGATCCCCTCTRCCAAGTCCTGGGCAGCCAGGCTGAAGACCACTTTGCCTAGCCCGATTTCCTCTTTGTTGGGGTGGCCAGCTAGTCAAGAGATGATGACTGTGAAAGCCATGTACCAGGTGAGGGCAGCACGGAGAAGGGAGTTCCTCAACTGCCTGGAAGGTGCAGCAAGTCACAGAAAACTGAAAAGGCACATTTATACATACCTAGGGAATGGCCAAGCCCCTCTGGGGGCGGGAGCACGCTAGGCCGGCATATGCAAAGGCACAGATGCCCAAAGAACCTGGGGAACCRGGTAAAGCTCTAGGTACAAGCTGAGAGAGGCCAGGTCCAGGGCTTGTGGCATGATTCACCAGGCAGAAGAGAGCCACGTGGAAGCTGCTCACAGTAGGCAGATGTCCCCCACCAYGTGGCCTGCATGCTTAAGTGTCCTCAAAGGCCTGAGCCAGCTTTGCAGGGAAGGCACGTAAGCAGAGAGCCAGGTMCCTCCCCTCCCCAGGCCTGAAGAGGAAGGACCAAGGGTGTCTGGCCAGGCAGAAAAGTGGGTCTACTAGTCCAGGGGCACCATGTGTCCTGARACGCTCCAGACAGGGAGACAAGAGGCCCAGCTTGGCCCTGTCTCAGAGGAGAAGAAATGGAGACCATACTTAGGGCTGCAGGGTAAGGCACCTATTTGGAGCCGGAGGCTAAGCCAGCCCACAGTGTTTTGGCTCCCTGAGTGCGCTCTGTGAGGTCAGCCCTGCAGACTCTCTGACCCAATAAGACTTTGAACTGRCGTCCCAAGGTCACACCGCCTTAGAATTGGGCCTGCCTGCCTCTAGAGGAGTTCCTTCCTAGCCATTAGGAATGCCAGACAGGGATGGAGCCCACACCCTCCCAGGAGCCCCCTGTTTGTCAGAAAAGACACCATATGGCTCCCTCAGGGCCACCAGACCAGATCAGGCAGCCACCTGCACTGCCCCTTCTTCCTCATCCTTCAGCCCTGGGGCGCTCCTCTCCCTCCCCCGACTCCCTTAATCCTCTTTGTGGGGATCCTGGTTCAGCCTAAGCCCATGTCCAGAGACAGATGTTGCCCAAGGTCCCCTCACCCCCACCCCAGCTGCCACTGGCCCAGAGGAAGGAGGAGGTAGGACCACACACAGTGAGTGACCCGACAGGCCACCACAGTCCCCTAGCCCACTGCCCAAGCCCGGCCCTGCTTAAATGGTGGAGACTCGAGACTGCGTCAACAGTGGCCCTGGGCAGCCGGGATGGACCAGAAACTGGCCCTTCCATGGCCCTGTCATTCATTCATTCAACAAACCTTTACCGAGTCCCTGCCATTCATTCATTCAACAAACCTTTACCGAGTCCCTGCCATGAGCCAACTTTGCTAGACCCTTCAAGGAGCTGGCATATCTGTGGGGAGACTGACAATAACCCTGCGGAGGAATAAGCCAGGACAAGCTAGGGCCCCTTGGAGAGGGGCCAGGGTGTGGGTCAGCAAACCTCTCCCAGGGAGCTGACTTCCTAGCCAAGACTAAAGGAAGGTGCCCCAGGCAGAGGGAGTTGCCAGTGCAAAGGCCCTGAGGCTAGATCTGGTCAAGGAACCAAAAGGAGGCSTAAAGCAAGAGCAGCTGACTCAGGGCCCCTGGGCTGAGCAGGAAGAGCCTGGTGCTCTCCRAGGCAGTGGGGTGGCAAGAGATAGTAAGCAGGGGAGTGAAGAGGATGATTCATGTGGGAACAGGAGCTCTGTCAGGGAGCATCCCTGGAGGCAGRAATGGGGGGGTTACGGGGGGCTTCCATAGAGGAGGAAAACAGGGAGGACCTAACCCTAACCCTAACCCTAACTGCCTGGACAGAGGAGGCCATGGCTCTACCAGCAGGGGAGACTGTGGACAGAGGCACAGCCTCCCTGGCCTCCCTCGCTCTGCCCCCAGGTCAGGCGCTCTCTGGGCTGGTGGCCAGCTCTTACTCCCAACCCTCCAGCCATGGCTGCGGCGGCCTGAGTCTGTCCTTAGCCCTCAGCAGAGACAGTGGCAGGAAGGGCCAGAGAAGGCCACCTTCAAAAACAAGGCCACCTAGAGAGAGGGAGCAGCTTACCCCAGTCCCTGCCTGGGCCACTGACCCCCAGCAACCTCTTGGTCCTCCTGCAAATCCTCCCACCCCTGGGCACCCTTAGCCCTTGCACTGTCCCATAGAGGGAGGGTAGCTGGGGGAGATTCAGAGACCCCAGGGGACCTAGGCAGGGCAGGGTCACTGACCCTTACCCCCAACACACACCCATGCCAAGTCACACACTCCCCATCCAGGTGGCCGCCAAGCCCTCCAGGTGGCCCAGATCCCCTCCGTGATTTCTGGGAGCTTACTTTAAGGGTATAAATTAAAACCACTTAGCCTCAGGCAGCAAATGGACACGTTTTTTTGCCACTGATTTCTAAGCACCTCAGAGGCTGGGCCACCTCAGGGTTGCAGGCAGGGCCTGCCCCTCCCTCCCCTCACACCTCGAGAGAATTCAGGAAGGTGAGCAGGTCCCAGGCCCCTCCCTGGGGGGTGGTCTCTGCCCTAGACCACCCTTCCTCCCCAGGACCATGACCTTCTGACTCTGCTGGACCTTCCCTCCACCCCCTCCGCTGGCAGTGCTGAGCCACCCCTCTGGGTGTCCCGCCCACAGCTGGATGACCTCTCTGCCCTTGACCCTCACCCTCCCTGGAGGGCAGTGCGTTTGCTGATATGCTGGGGAAACTGGGAGGCTCTCTCTGGTGCTCAGGGTGCAGGGGGCRTGGGGAGGGAAGTGAAACCCAGCTGGCTGTCCCCGCACCCAGTGAGGAATTCCCTGTGACCTTCCAGTGGCCCAAGGGAGCACGTTCACAGGCATTCACTGCATGTCACCCGCGCACCTGGTGCTGTCCTGTCATCCTGCCACCAAGGGACATGCACTCGTTTCACAGATGAGAAAAATGGATCTCCAAGAGGCTCAGTCCCTGGGTGAGGTGGGATAGTTAGCACAGGGCGGGAACAGACTCCAGGGTCATGTTTGGCTTCCAAGCAACAGCAGCCACGGCCACAGGTACCTGTCCCCGCACCTCTAGGTTGAGAAGGGTAGCCAAGTGGGAAACACGGGCTCAGCCCATGGGGATCGGGTGTAACCGTGGAGACGGAGCTGGAACACAGCCAGAGCCCAGCAGGCACAAYCCTGGAGATGGAACCATTCTTGTACCTTCAGAGAAGAGGAATCTGAGACTCAGAGAGGTGAACTAGTTTGCCTTAGGCTGCCCAGGACCGGTGGGGCAGGAGTGGGGTCCGGGCCCCCCTTGCTTCCTCAGAGGCTGTTAGTCAGAGAGGAGCCTGGGGACCAGCCCCTCCAGGGAGCAAAGACCTCTCCAGCCTGTTCCTTGGCAGGTAGCTCACAGCTTGTCAGGGCAACGCACTCCCCCAGGGGACTGATGTAACTTAGCACATRACCTCAAGCACCCTAGCAAGGGGGAGCGGCTTACCCCAGTCCCAGGCTGGTACCACTGGTCCCCAGAGTGTAGGAGTCTCAGGAGGGCCTTCTGGGCCACCCAGACCTGCAGGACCCTGGCAGCCAGCAGAGGGCCTCTGCTCACCTCTGGCCTCTATAGGGGAGGGGGTAGTCATGCCCCATGGGCCCCTGCCAGACGGAACCTTGCCCACTGAGGTGAAACCAGGCCTCGCCAAGCTCCAGTTGCTTGAGTAGAACCGCAATAGAGCCAGGACGCGGCTGGAGTACAGCCCTGCCCCTCAGACCCCGCCTCTCAGAACTCTGCTCCTAGGCCCCGGGGAGCTGGGGCTAGCAGCACATGAGGCATTCTGGAGTCACAGGATCCAGCTTGGCTTGTTCTATCACTTCTATGCTGTGTGACCTTGAGTAAGGTCCTGCTGTCTCTGGGCCTTGTCTTCCTTGTCAGTGAAAGCAGGCTGTTGGAGCCAAGAGTCCTTCTGAAAGCCAGGGCTCTGGGGACTTGGCAGCCAGCAGACATGCCCTGCTTCCCTGGCCTGTGATCCTGCAGCCTGCACACAGCCCCTGGCCCTCTTGCCCAACGCAGCTAGTATTGTTTTTAAAAACCAGAGCAACAGGATTAGCCAGTATTGGCTAAACATGGGGACCTTTGCCTTCCTGCCCTGAACCCAAGGCCCTGGAGTCCTCCAGGCAGGTTGGGAACTACGGACTTAACCCTTTGTTGGCTGGAAAAGAGGTCCCATCATGGACAAAGCCTAGACTTTGCAGCCTAAGTGCCTGAGACCATGTTCTGCCTCTCTCCTTGATAGGGCTTGAGACGTAATCCATCCTTAGCTTCCTCCCAGGATAACCGATAACACCCACCTATGGCAAGGTGGCCTTCTGTGGCCCACAAAGCATTTACTTAGCCCTCCCTGGGAGCCAGCAATCTCGGGGTTCTGCTCAAGGCCACTGACCTTCCCCACCCAGCAGCCTCACTGCTACACCAGTCCAAACACTGCCGCACGCCTATGCTCACCGGCATCCCACCCAAGGCTCTCCTGCCAAAGAAAGAGGGCACCGGAGGCAGTGCCAGAGCTGCAGCAGCCCCCAGCCCAGAAGCTTCCTGCCTCTCCTGAGAGTGTGCGCCTGCAAACTGGAAATCCTCCCCAAGCCAGAAAGGGTTGGGGACCTTGGTTTTCCGACTTGGACAGGGAGATGGAGGAGGAGGATGCCCTTACCCTGGGGTGGCCTAGAGACTCTGGGATAGGCAGAGGGGCAAAGAGAGCCCGTGGGAAACAGGCCTGGGGGGAGCAGGAGGCTTCTGGGTCAGGGGCTACTGTTCGCAGGGGAGAAGCTGGGCAGACATCCTAACGTGACAGCCGCCCTCTTCCTCCCAGCCCGGCCCGGAGCATTCCCAGGGGAGGGCTGGAGAGGGCCCAAGGCTCCGTTCCAAGAGACACTGGTGGTCCTGGGAAGGGGACTGACTCCTCCCTGGTTCAGCATGACACTCTCTGGACCTCCAGCATGTCCCTTTAGTTTAAATGAGGAGGTAGCCCAGAGGCGTGGTTTTCCCACCCTTTTTAGCCCTAGAGCCCCTGCAGGAAACCCCTAAAATAGAAACAATAAAGGGGAGCTATTCTGATGGATCCAGGGGCCCCTCAGAGGCTCTGGAGCAGGTGGCCCCTGGGAACGTGATGACTGCGTCACCCCTTTCTGGAGCGCAGGATCCCAGCACATCTGGGAGAATGCGCCTTTCCCATTCAGCCATGGCTGCCCCAGCTGCCTTCCACGCTTTACAAGGTCCTTCCTTCTTAATAAGGAAACCTAATTTTGGTGCTCTTAATGAGGAAGGCGGGTGGGAATGAGTAGATCTGGCAGTCATGGGACACCTGGGAATGGGGAGGGACAGTGGAACCAGATGGGCATAAGCCTCCAGAGTCTTGGTGGGGCCCCAGGAGCACCCTGGTTCCACTGCCCCCCAGGGAACTGGCAGCCCTCCCAGCGTTCCCTGTGGTGAGTTGGCTCCAAGGACATTGTCACTCTTATGGAGCGCTATATGTGCCACACCAGAGCTTGGAGTTGGAGACCCAGGCTGCATTTCTAAGCTGGGTGTGAAGGGCCACGGGGGGCCAGGCCTGGAGCCAGTGCTGAGTGGGGTTGCGTGCATCCACCCCAGCCAGGGCAGCCCAAAATCTCCCAATGGCTCTTCCCTGAGCTCTGGGGAAGCCATGTGTCCTAACTCCTTGCCTTTTCTGGGTTACAGAACCTGACGTCTGCGGGGCTGAGCAACAGATTGCCTTTCTAACAGGCTTCCAACATGTGCTGGTGCTGCGGGGAGTAGCGAGGAGTCGGGAGTGCCCACCATGGTGGGCGCAGGAGCTTGGAAGCGGCAGGGAACTATGGGCAGGGGAGGGCCCCTAGGTGCTAGGACTCGGAAGTAAGTTACAGAGCCCCACAGGTGGAGCAGAGAACTGGCCTCAGGCCACCCTAAAGATGGTCACAGGGCATTCCCAGCCAACAGCCAACTGGGGCCCTTGCTGAGTGGTGGAACAAGGCACAGTGGAACCCCAGCCCTGCTGACCTGGGGACCTGCCTTCACCAGCCGATCTCCCCTGTGCACCTGTGAAGCGGGCCTGTCCGCCCACCCCGGGCTCCCAGGCTTTGCACGAATGGTGACTCACGCCTGCCTTTCCTCTCTCCTGGCAGGTGGTCAGCCGAGTGGCAGCCCAGCAAGGGTTTGACCTGGACCTCGGCTACAGACTCCTGGCCGTGTGTGCCGCCAACCGAGACAAGTTCACTCCCAAGTCTGCCGGTAAGCGTCTATTGGCGTCTGTTCGGGTGTCATTGGAAGGTGGGAGGGGACCAGACACTACCAGGGCTGTCTGCCACCTGGGTGCCTTGGGTCATCTAGGTGTGGTGTGAGCTCCAAGGAGGAGCAGCTCAGCAGCCAGGCTCTGGAGCCCACAGGCGAGGGTCAGCCCTATGTCTGTCCCTGCACATGTTCGTGTCTTGGGGCACTTTAGATGCACTGCAGGGCCACAGAGGGCTCCAAGGCATGATGCACCCCAACAGCAGGCACTGTGCTGGTGGCAGGACATGCATCCTCTCATTCCAACACCACAATGACCCCTGGGCATAAGAATTKGGATCAGCCCCATTTTATAGGTGAGAAAACTGAGGCTCAGAGAAGCAGAAGAGGTTTCCCAGGGTCACTAAGCTAGAAAGCAACAGAGTTGGGATTCAAGTCCAGGCCTATACTCCAGAGTCAGCGTGCTAAACCTTTACACTCCACTGCATTCAAAAAACCCATTTCTTGAAAATCAAAACAAAATGAATCGATATATCCAGTGTTCCTAAAAGCCTGCCCTGCAGAAGCATCGAGCTTCCTGACCCCATCTTTCATAAGGGCCACAGAAGTTGCCAATCAACAGTCTGTCTATGGGGGACTTAAGCACATTAACAATGCAGTTTTAGCATRGATGCTTGGGTGCCGCTATAGTCCCAGATACTCAGGAGGCTGAGACAGGAGGATCTCTTCGGCCCAGAGTTTGGGGCCAGCCTTGGCAACAAAGTRAGACCTATCTTTAAAAAAAAAAAAAAAAAGCCAAGATAGAGTTTTACAGTTACCATCATCCTCATAACCTGGCTTAGACAGCAGGTACCCAGCAACCTTTACAGCGGACAAACCTGTGGCCTCTTAGCTGTCACATGCTGAGTGTTAGTCTCTGGGCCTCAGTTTATAGCCTCAGGAAGGCAGGAATGATGAGACCTGCCTTGCAGGGGTCATGGTAAATTCTAGAAATATATAAAGTATCTGGCACAGTGTCTGAATGTAAACATTCTTTATTGATTCAGGGCCGGTAGTTGAAGGGGGGCGGGGGGAATCGCGTGTCTTCTGCATGACAATAAAGCAGACAATTTCATTAGACTCACCAGTCAGTTCTTTGGTGTGTGTTTGGAAGTAGCCTTCAAGAAAATGCTCAGAGGAAGTCTCACAACGGGTTTCCATAAATCTGCTCATCCATAGTGTCTTGAATGCGGTTTACRCTCCCCTCCGCAAACACTTACAGTCCCCAAACGTGGGTGTGCTTCACTTAGAAAACCGTGTGTGAAGGTCTCGTGAGCCAATAGCTGCTCTGAAACCCCTTCTCCGCCAGCCTGAGCTGGGATATTGCTGTGCACAGAATCGCTTGCCAGAAAACAGTCTTGGAATCTCACAGGGAACGTCTATTCCTGTCGGAATCTGCAGTTTTAATAATAAGTCAATACAATTTAGACGAGGGAAAAATTGCATCTTAAGAAACGCGTCTCTCATGCGCCTGTTCTGTGCAGATACGGACCAGGACTGAGGTCACCAGGGGAACCAGACAGGGTCCCGCCTGCAGGAACTGATAGTCTGGGGTAGGGCTCTGCAAATTTTTTCCATAAAGGACCAGATGGTGTCTATTTTAGGCCTTGTGGGCTACAAAAGCAGTCATAGATGATATATAAAGGAATGTGTATGGCTAGTTCCAATAAAGCTTTATTTATAAAAACGAGTGATAGCCAGTAGCTTCCTGGCTCCGGGCCTACAGGAAGAAGAAGCCATTGATCAAATGATTACAGGAGCGTGTGTGTGCATGCACGCGTGCATGTGTGTAAGTCAAGCTGTGTTAAGTGCTGTGAAGCAGAAGTCATCAGATGACGTGGCAGTGTTGGGGGCACAGACCACCATGGGGTCAGGGGACGCTTTGGAAAGTTAAGAGTTTAGTGGGTAAAGAAAAGGAGGGCACAGTCCTTCGTAGGTGAGGGGGCATCCTGTGCAAAGGCCCCGAGTGAGGAGGGAGCATGGCTTTGTGTCAGACTAAGATAATGGTAGTGGTTCTGGAACCCCGAGTTGGGGGACATGTGGCCAGGGTGAGGCGGGTGAAGGCAGCAGCTCAATTCGCAGGGCCCGTCTTGAAGGTCGTGGTCTTTGTCCTAAGGGAATGGGAACATGGTTAAATCCTCATTTTGTAAAAACTTATTCTGCTACCAAAGAATAAATTGCACAGAGGAGTGGGGGTGCTGGTCAGCTGGCAGGTCACTGGTGAGTTTGGGGTGCTGGAAAGGAAGACAAGAGTGGAGTGAAGGGAAGAGAAAAGGAGATCTAAGGGGCAAAACCAGACTGGTGCTGGAGCTCAGTGGTAGAGAACTTGCCAAGAATGTGAGAGGCCCAGAGGTTGTGGCCTGCCCCCCTGCCCGCCCCCCCCCCCCACACACACACACAAAAGGGAGGGCGGGGAAGGGGCCCCAAATCAAGACAAAGGATGCACAGCCAGAGAGGTAAGGAGAACAGAAGACTGGGCTGCCCCAGAAGTCTCAGCTTGGCCCTGTGGAGGAGGAGGGGCTCAGGGCCCTGTGCTCCCCCTCCTTGGCAGAGAGAGGAGGGGGCTCTCCTAAGCCCTGGCCTTATTGGCACGCGCAGGGTATTTTCCTGTGGTTTGCCACAATTCTCAGCTTTGCAAGACATCTTCATTGATGGATGAGGATACTGAAGCTCAGAGAGGCCCTGTGACTGGCCCAGAGTCACACATCTCATAAATGATAGAGCTGGAACTTGAACTCTAGCCTGACTCTGAGCTGAGGGCTGTTGCCTGTTCAATCACAGTTGACTCTAGGGCTGGTCAGGGTTCTCCATTAGGAGACTTCTGCTTCCTGTCCCAGGATCTGGGAAGCCACTCCCCTCGGATGAGGCGTCACATGTGCGGGGCTCTCTAGCCAGACCCCATGCTCCTAAGGTGGCGTTTCCAGCATCACTTCTCCTGAAACAGGGAATCCTTCTGTCCTTTACCTGCAACTCCAGCTGTGCATAGCTCTTAGCAGGTCACAGAGCCCCTTCTCATATATTGTGTCCCATGAGTCACATGATGTGTCCCAGGACCCCCAGATGAGTTCTCAGACACCCATTCTGCCACTGGGAACTCTGAGGCACAGCAAGCCTGTGGCTTGGCTGTCACTTGAATTCCCTCCCTAGGAGTCCAACCCTTGTCGGGCTGACAGCCATGACCCACCACCATTCCCAGCCAGTGAAGTCTGGGTCATCCCCCTGCCTGGAAGCGCAGGGGGTCATCTGAGTGGGCCTCAACTGCTGGTTTCATTCACGGAATGCAGGATCTGCTGGGGACAGGCTGGGACATAAAACAAGCAGAGGCCACAGGGAGCAGAGCAGAGACCCCAAATTTAAAGGGCAGCTTGGTGCTGGCCCCTCCTTGGCCACCCTCCCCACCTGGGAGCTGTGCCCTGGCCTACAGAGAGGGCACACACACCCTCAGCTGTCTCTGAGCACTCAGCAAGCTCTCTAATGTGGGAYCCCCCAATACCTGACCACATGGGTACCGAGTGAGTGCCACTTCCTGACCTCCATCTCTCCCCAGCTTGGCATCCTCCTAACTGGCCCTCACTGCCCGGCAAGGCTGCCTCTCCTGGGGCTCCCCTTGCCTCTGGGGTAGGTGCATGTCCTGTAGTACCCTGCCCCTGGTGTGTGTGTGTGTGTGTCCCTCTCAGACCTCTCCCGGGTGGCCTCTGCAGTTACAGAGCTCTCTGTCCCCAGAGCCTCTGTAGCCAGCCAGCTGCTTCTCCTCCCTCCGGTGTCTGTGTCTGTCTGGGCTCCTGCTCTGTCTGATCACTGTGCAGCTTTCCCAACCCTCTGTCTGTCTATCTCTCCCTTCCATGTCTAGCTTCCCATTGCTTTCTTTCTGAATTTTCTCTAGGTCTCAGACTTGTCCCCTGTGTGGTGTGTCTGTGGCTATGTGCATATGCGCACATCTCTGTGCGGCGCATGTGTGAGGTACGCGGCTGTGTGTGCGCGTGCATGCCTGTGCATTTGGCTGTGTCTGATGTGTGAGAGTCTGCACGTGTCCCTGTGTGTGGTGTGTGTGTGTGTGCCTCATGTGCACAATTGTTTTTGTGCTGTGTGTGTGCATGGCCGCCTGGGTGGGTGCCTCCCCTTCCCCTCCTCCRGCCCCATCCCTGTCTGGCTGGTCAGGAGCCGGGCTGGGCCAAGGAGCAGGATGAGCTCATGCGGCACAGGAGAGGAGCTTTGTCAGGATGGCTGGCGGTGAGCCGGGCTGGGCATCCGTCTGGGGCTGTGGAGCAGGAACTGGGCCTGGGGGCAGCATTGCTGCAGCGTGTGCCACGTGTGTGTGCGTGCATGCATGTGTGTGTGTGTGAGAGAGAGAGAGAGAGAGAGAGGGAGAGAGGGGAGCTGGCGCCTGGAGCCGCAGACACTGCAGCAGCCAAGGCGGGCGTCTGCACGTGGGGCCCTGGTACCCAGCCCCCAGCCCTTTGTTCTGGTGCAGCCTTTAGCCTCTGCTCACAGGGGAGCAGGAGCGCAGGCGCGCACAGGGCCAGGATCCTCCTCATSGGAGACTCCTGGGGCAGCTGCTTCCCCACACACACCTAGAGCAGAAGGTCACCTGCCCCGCCCCTGCCTCCACCTCCTCCCTAATGCACCCACCCTGCCCCCACCCGCCCGGCGTGCCAGCCCTCAGCAACTTGGCAGGCAGCGCTGAAATGTCAGCCTCATCACGCTCATCTGTCCACGCTGGCTACGTGGGTGAGAGCACCAGGCAGTCGCCATGTCCAAAGTCCCCGGGAGCCATCATGCCTCAGCTCGTGTCCATGCTTGAATAAATCTGTGTCACCTCAGCTGACCCCACTGAGCAGCCAGTGTGTGTTGAAGTAATGGAACAGGGAATGTCAGAGCCCCGGAGGTAGAAAGTCCAGGGATCAGAGAGGGGAGGACCCACCCCGAGTCACAGGGAAGCCCAGGGGGCCTGGGGGGCCCACTGC